GCTACGTCTAGGAGGCTCCACACCGGCTACGTGGGCATAGCTAGCTGGCCTATTCTCCATGGTGTGGAGCCGCGCTTCTAAGTCTGTGAGCCTCGTCTCCAATGCTGCTAGCATCTGACATTTATTACAAGTACCATTATCGCTAAATGAGGCAGAACATGCGACACTCTGAGCAAGAGAAAGGAGGAGAGGAAGAGGGGGAAGCCATTGCTCTCGGTTAAGCTACTAGCTTAGCTAGCTTTTAAACTAGCCGACCTAAAGTAGCAAGTTAAATTTGGTAGTTAGCAAGAACTTCTGCGAAACAAGTGCTTTAAGTGGTGCAAGCGAATGTTGTCACTCAAAAATTCAGATGAACCTAGAAAATAGTGAGTTTAATTCCTAAACATTTTGGAAGCAAGCATAACACAGTGCAAATACAGAAAACAGGAAATGAGTACGGTTTACCGCAGGAAACAGCAGTCCGTCAAAGAAGTGCTCAGTTTAAAAGGTGCTTTTTGATATGATCTCAAAAGTCTTTGTTTTTCTGTTTTCTTGGCAGTATGATACTCAACCATCCCTGCTCGCAAGTAGATAAAATAAGAATGGTGATGAAATGTCTACTGTGATGAATTGCTTACAGTATCTTTTCTTTTTGAATTGTGTGTAAACTGATTTTCATTCCTGAGTGAAATTGTAGGCAAAATGATAAACTGTGGTCTTGAGTGGTCTTGTAATATATACAGAAAGAATAGGGGAAACTTGTTTTATGTTTTTTGGCTGACTACAACAGTGCACTGGATTTGAATTGAAACAGTGGCTTTGAGGTTAAAGCATAAACTTTCAGCCTTGAGTTTGAGGGTATTTACATCTATACTGGGGGACAAGTGTAGGAATCATAACCATTTTTTATACATATTCCCCCAATTTTCAGACAAGAGCAGCAGGAAAATAAAACATCAAAGGCAACTAAGACATTTATGGCTGTACACTGGAATGTTGTTGATTGGCCAAGTCAGATATCCTGACATCAGTCCAACTGAGAATGTGTTTCATTTGCTGAAGGTGGGAGCCAAAAGCCCCAAAACACGCAAGAAGTGAACATGGCTGCAGTAAAGGCCTGTTAGCAGGGGCGGATCTAGAACATTTTGGATGGCATGACCAGGCTGGGGCACAAACTCAGAGATGGGTGGCACATTAGAAATACATGTAAAAAGGAAATTAAACCCCTAGATCTATGAAATAATAAGCAATACATTATTAAGAAATCAAATTGTTTATTTTGTGTAAAAATGAGACACACATAAGGCTATCTTTAGCTAACTTTAGCTGCACTCTTTGTTTACTTCTGGCCAGGGACATTACTTTTTTCTGTGTATACTAATGATATGCAGCTGCAGGATAGTAGTGTCAAATTGCTACAAAATGCTGATGACAGTGCTTTAACTGGACATTTTCTTGCTAATAATAATTGTGATAACTTTGCCCATGGTGCAATCATTGCTTTTTGCTGATCGGTGCGGATAAAACATTTTTAAAACAATACAGGCCCCCCCATCACAAATTCTACTTTCAAATCAGGCTGTGGAAATGGTTGATATATATTTATAATAAATAGAATTTTATAGATCATGTTGATACCGCTTACAAATAAAATTATTAGGAAATTAAAAGGCTTTGCAGGAAGTCAGAAGGTTTAATAAAGAGTGTACAGTAGTTTAACTGAGAGTATCCTGGCCTTTAATATTACAGTCTGGTATGCTAATATGAGGGTGGCCACCAAAACAAACTGGCAAAAATTGTTAAAAATGCTGGAAAAATTATAGGTCGACCACAAACTCCAATTTTCTTATATGAAACAGATGTGTGCAGGAAAGCTTGATATATCATTGCTGATCCAAAACACCCTTTGTATTCTGTTAGGTATTTTTAGTCAGATAGATATTGGTTAGATACTTTATGTATTAGAAATGTTTAGTGGAGATAGGATGTCTAGTTAGACTGTTAAATGCTTAGTCATGCTTATGAGTTTCTACAGGGTACATCTGGTCAAGGATAACTAGAGAGAAGAGTTGATGACTGTCAGCAGACAGGATGTTTAATATTATTATTATGATGTGTATAGCTGTAGCCTTAGCCATAATATTTTTTTATGTTTAATGTCACGACATGTCACTAGAGGTCGTGTGAGAATGTTTTTAGCTACACACCACTTAATCAACAGACACACACACATTGATTTTACTTCATGTTTTGACTACTGCTATGGCCAGCTGCAAAGCTGGTAACAGAGACGTCTCGGTTGACGTTTCTGTGTAGTATGGGGCTAGCCCAACCGAGAGGATATAATGTATAGGCCTGGTGGGTTCAGGGTCTTTCATCTTACATCTGCCTGCGCGCAGTATGGAGGTGCAAGATGCCTGAGCGTGTAATGTTAATTTTTACCTGTGTTCATGGAATAAATCAGCACTGTTTTGTAGTTACTTGGACTGTCTCGTCTCTCAGAGTCAGTTTGGTAAAAAGTATCGGGTACAACACCTATTATCCAAGAAAAAAATCTTGCCATGACATGCTGTCTTAAGGGCAGATTTCACAGACAATAGCTTTTTTACAGATTGACTTACAGACCCCTGGGCAGACGCCTGTCTCTTAGTCCTGCCGCCTACTCGTCTGTGAAGAGTGGCCTTTGTGTGTTTGTGAATGACAATGGCGTTGCCCTTAGCACCATCGTCAGCCCCACTGTCACCGATGAAGGGTGTAAATCTACTGGCTGTACATGATTTCTTCTTCTCAGTGACACCCCCAGGCAGGCTGAGGGGGCCAGGTTAATGGGGTACAGAGATTTTTATTATGCTGGTGGTAGAGCTTTGATTTGTGAGTGGGGGGGTGTCAGGACTATAACTGCTCTTCAGAAGATCTGTCATGTTGTTATCCAACTTGAGATGTAGTGTGAAACAGAAATCCGTGTGAGAGTAACACAGCAGTTGGCAGACTGACAGACAAAACAGAGCTGCACACAGTCAGACAAACAGAAACATGGAGGAATAGCCACCTGTGTAACAGAGAGAGTAAAGTGACGTCTTGAGGGTTGAGAGTGTTATTTGTGGTCTGAGCTGCGCGTTATAAATGCTGGTCTCCTGGGGACTGTCCTGTTCTGACTGTGCGAGAGTAAACTTGCTCTGGAGAGAACCACTGTGTTTTTGTAATTGACACTAATGTCTGTGTAAACAGCTACAGTGCTGACACTAACACTGGCAGAAATAACCTGCGGGGAAATGTAGACAGACACGACCAATGAAGCCAGGCCTGTGTACTAACAAGCAGCTTTCAGAAACACACAGTGGCAGGAGGTGTTTAGCTAAACTCACCTACTCTACTAGGTCACTAACATAAGAGGATCATCATGTGTAGTAATGAAACATCCCACATGAAGAATTCATGGGCCATTTAACTAAGACTGAGCACAATTTCAGATAAATCAAGTAAAAAATTGACTAGAAGTGTTGTACTAAACTCCCCCCACCCCATTCTGCTATCTTCAGACCTTGTGTTTATTTCCTTCCCTCTGTGGCCACTGTTATTAAAATCCACAAACTGGTATGGCTCATTTCAAAGACAGACTATGGAGGCTCCCTGTGCAGGTAGAACCCAGTATGGGAGCAGACCTGTAAGACCCAAGAGCCCATGTTCTGTAGCACAGAAATAGTGCAACAAAGCACGAGGCAAAAACCAGTGTTAGGATTAGTTTGGCCTTTCAAAGATGGAGAGCATTCACCACGGGAGAAACTTGATGGCACCAGTGCCACCAGTATGAAGTGTTAGGCTGGAGCCCTGCTCTGTAGATACATCCACTTCAGACAACGTAGACGTATCACTAACATGTGAGCCTCTTTATTTGACATTGTGTCACTGCAATGCCACCAAAAACCACAGGCTCTATGGGATCTATATTTCATATACATTGGTTCTCAGCCAGTTTTTACTGCTGTGCTACCTGACTGCCACAAGTGTCTCTGGTTGTCATGACCACATATGACATAGTTTTGGAGGCAGGGCATGAGGGACAAAGAAGAGCAGATGGAGAAGGTGTACTGCTTGAGATTGTTTTGACTCTTAACAGTCGAAAATTAGAAGGAGAAGTTAGTTAATGCAGCTTTAAGGAAGATTTTTCATACAAATAAAAAACCTCTAGCTTGCTAAAAATGCAGATAGTCATACTTACTTAGTTATACTATTTATCCAGGTTCTGAGACATCTGCCTATGAAATATTTACTCCAGTTCAACAGAGGTGAATGAAAATGAATCGATGGTGCTCATAGTAGAGTCTTACTGAAGAAATAATCCAAACAAAAAAATAACTAAACTATTTCAGTAACTATTAAATGGATTTGTATGAAGTGCAAATTGATGCAGGTGTTTGTGTCTCTGTCAAGGCGAACTGCAGTAACTCTAGCTTTTCCTTTACTGCCAACAGCAGGTCACAGTTTTCACTCATCCCATAAAATATTTCAACATCTGCTTGATTGGTGTAGAATTTCAGTCCTGGTCCCTGACGATATTGGGGTTCTCCTGATTTTTCCTTTTGAGGTTGAAATGTGTCATTTTTAGACTAACAACTATTTCAACTACTAGTAGATGAATTGCTGTGACATTCCTTTTTTCTTAAATCAAGTGTAATAACTTTTTATCTAGTGCAATTCTTAAATCAAATTTGTAATATGCTCAAACACTAGACTAAAATGCTGAACATGGTAATTATACATGCTAAACATCAGTATGTGAGTATGTTAGCCTGCTGATGGTAGCATTTAGCTTGTGACACCTACAGTAAATACAACCTCACAAAGTTGATACCGAAGCTGTAGATTTGTTTCAGTTTTTTACAATGCTGTGAGAACCAGAGAATAAAGTTGTATTCCCGTTGTACTGGGATGTTGGCAGACATCTCAAAACCTAGTCATATAAAACCTGAGATGACTAGAGGTAAGTAAACACATACATCCATATTTGTAGTCTGAGGAGTGGACCACCCTCTAGATGTTACATGGTACAGAGATGATGGAACTGATTCATATGTAGAGAGAGGAAAATCAATGGGAAGCAAGTCAAGGAACAAAGCAATAGAAAGTGTAAGATACTTGAACACGAACTGAAAAGCAAACAGTCATACCTGTTAGCAGGCTCCTGCAGAACCTGGTAAACATTGACTTTGAATGTTTCATTCTCATAGTGTTCCTGGATGAAATCCTTGTGAATCCTGAGCTCTGCTGCTGTGATGGCCTCTCCCTCTGGAATACGGGAAAGGTCAAAACGAAATTCCGTTTGATGGTGCTGGTACAGAAGGTCTTGATCCCGATCTACTATTAGAAGAAGACACACAGAGATGATGGGATATACAGTTAACTTAATCTAAAGAATGGTTTTCTGGCAGAGAGACAAGGTCAGAAACTTTAACATGTATTGCTGTCAATATATGATGTGATTCAGCAACCTGATCCTTCTATACTCCACACATAAATTATATCCATCCATCCATTATCTACATCGCTCATCCTGAAGAGGGTCATGGAGGGGCTGGAGCCAATCCCAGCTGACATTGGGTGAGTGACAGGGTACACACAGGTTGCCAGTCTATCACAGGGTTGACACTTAGAGACAAACCAGGAATTATATCACCATGATAAATGTTTTTAATTTTCTCCGCAGCTGGTACACAGCAAAAGACTCCTGACCATCAAAGGGTACATTTGCACAACCATGGAAAAGGCAAACCACTGGTTACAGTATCTGTCAAAACTGTTGTTGATTCAAAGGGCTCTCTGATGTGCGTCGCTCTGCCCACAGCTCAGAAGCACTGTGTCAGAAATAGGAAAAATCCTACTTCCATGAGTGAAATGATTGATCTAAACATCACTTAGCCTGCCATGCATGCCAAAAACACACTCATAGCCTCCCTTTTTAAATCGCACACATGGGTTGACCACAAGAAAAGGTCTGTTAAGGCACTGCCCGGAAAACCACAGCAACCAGTGTGCATTTACAAACACACACACATAAAGTATAGAAAGCCACACAGATGGCTTAACTACCAGAGTCAGTACCAGCCACACCTCTGTGATCATTTTGCCTTGTATCATTGTCCAGTGATTTCATTCTGATTTTAGAGGATAAAGTGACTGGGCAGCAGTAGCTGGTGGCACAGTAGCAGTCCCACCCTGCCCTGAGACAGCTGAAGCCCTCTAACACTCAAAGTTTCCAGGAGAACCGTGGTCAGAAAGACCCCAGAGCTTCCTGGAGCTTTCGTGTTTTTACAACGTTAGTCAAAGTATTTGTCCTTGGAGAGAGTGGTGTGGGTCTCTGGTGAAGGTGTGTGGAGTGGAGCAGCAATTAGCCTATTTTAAACACATCCTGCCCAGTGGCATACACCATGACATCATCATGACATCACCATGCGCCCCTACTGATGGCCCACTACTATTTCAGTGCACAAACACCCAGACACATAACACCCCAGAAGAAACAGAACACTTACATACATTGAGTCAGTGTCTTCTAAAAACACTTCAAATGACACAAAAACACACAGCAGTTCATCGTTAAGAGCGATGCATTCTGAACCCTGCGAGTCATTTGTTTGACTGCAATTAAATACTGGAATGGAACGAGGGGTGTTTTTATGAACACAATAATTGCTTGTAAGGACTCAGTGTGTTTACATTAGGGACCATTAGCTGCAGAGATCAGACCTCAGATATGCAAACTTCCCTCTGGGAGGCATTTCAACACTTCAGATCACTCCTGGCGATGCAAGGCCACACAGCCGCGGAGCCATCATTAACCTACTGCAATTTTATATAAGTGGGAGTGTTTCTACAAATCATTGTGGGTGGTTTTAAGATCTCACGATGTCTGCACAAAGACAAAACTTTTATAAATAATGAAAATGCCATCTTCTTGAAAGTTAATTGGTTCAGATGTTGTGAATGTCATTTTTGTATGACTCACGCTCAGTGTGTTCATTTGTAAAATGTACAATCTTTTATTTATTCAAGCCAATAGTAAATATTATTCAGCTGAACATTTTCTGCCCTTTCAAATCCATAAATGTGTGCATATGCTGAGATATGGATGGAATACTGTACAGGCTTATTAGGCACAGGCCCAGGGGCCCGAGGTGTCAGAGGGCCCCTAGACCAGAGTACCATAAAGGGACTGTTAACCTTTCTGCAGGAAAGTCAATCAAATGACTAAAAAACATGTACAACAAAGCAAAACAGCTACAAAAAGACATAAACTGACTAAATAGAGAAATAAAGACCCTAAAACAGCACAGTGTGTATAAATATTTGCCAAACTACAAAAAGAGACACAAAAAACTACAAAGCAATTTATAAAAATAGACACAAAATGAGTAAAAATGAACACAAAATGGCTATAAACAGACACAAAACAACCACAGGAAGACAAACAGACAGCAAATCACTGGGTTACGTAATCTGTGAGTCTTGTTGTTAGAGATGGTAGCCATTTACATGTCTGTGTCCAGGAGCTCATTGTCTCATAATCTGTCCATGTGTTGTGAGCTTTGTCAACATGTTTTAGACACCAAGCTCGTTTGTTGCACATTATTAGAGCTGCAATAAAGGCCTTTATAAAAACCCATTTTGCACATCAATACAGAATATAGGCGTATCAGATCAGTGGAGTACACAGCTGCTCTTTACAGCTAAGTAAAGAGTAAAAAAGAAAGCAATTATTTTGCACATGAATGTATAAATAATGAGGAGGCTAATGAGATTTTCTGGCAGGGCAAAAGAAATTCTTCATACAATCTCCTTATGCTACCTACAGATCAGCTTAGCGGGACAAAAGCATTTCTTCCTGCTTGTTCTCAAAAACACAGTGCTCCTTCTGTTCCTCAGCAAAACAGTCATTCCTCCAGCTGTTACAAGAGCTTTTTTTTTTTTTTTTTTTAATGAAAGCCAGTGACATTTCTGGCCATTAAGGAGGCTTTTCCCATGCTCTGCAGGTGTGTTGTGGTCAGTGCAAAAAAGCTCAAACTGAAGTCATGTGTACTCATCCGCAGGCAAAAAAGACTTCAGCAGCAGTAAACAAGAATGTCAACGGTGAGAAGAAGCAGAACAGAGAGCTGCAAAACAGCAACGACTTATAAAATCGGTCAGGCCTCAGCACCACATTCAATTTATTTATTTATACATAAGTACAATAGAAGCTGCAAATGTGCAGTGCAATAGCAGCTGCCTTGTATAATGTTGCATGACAATGAGAAGGAGGCTTCTGCTTGTGATTCTGGAGTAGGACCTGTGGTTTGGCATTCCAACAGACGTACGCATATGCAGCCGTGTAGCTGTGTCAGCATGTGTGCAGTGATGTGATATACACAATGCTCTCCAGTAAAGCCCTCAAATAATGGCCTCTGGATGAAAAAGAGGAGGAAAACTTTTTTTTTAAATGTCATTATCTGAAATGTAAATGATTTCACTTGAAGATTATTGATGGTCAAATGTGGCTGATACTTTAAAAAAGAACTACTCTAGGCACTTTCCACCTGCAGGATATTCACTGGGAGACGGAGCTGGGCAGCTCCACAGCGGCTCTCCCTCACACTGGAAGCTGTGGTCTTTGGAAGGGAAATACTATAATCCAGTTCAGTCTTGAAGCGATCATCCAGAGACCACCAAGAAAATCACTCTAGCACAATGTGAGAGCCAAAACTCTGCAAAAACCTATGCCAATCATCAGTACAGGAGGTTTGAGGGAGAAATAATACACACTCACTGTGTCCTTTTTCCTTCTTCCTCTGTATAATCAAACTCTTCAGATGTGGAACCACATAGATCTGCTATTAGTTTTATGAAATGATGTTTCCAGACATCATTAGCTATAGACTATCATTTAAAGGTTCACGACTGATGACATAAATTGTTACGTCCTGCACTTGTATACAGATCTTTTACAGGCTCCAAATGTTTTGTATTAACTGTGCGTTTGTGAGATGATTTTAAAAAATAAGTCTAACTGAGCCTCGCAAGGTTCAGCTCAGTCTCAATAACAAACAAACAGATGGTTAAAGGTTATTGGGAGACAAATCTCAGATGAACAAACTTCATTATTTCATATTGAGCTATAACTCTTGTCCAGTCCCTGAGGCAGCAGAGAGGTGTAAAAAAGACAAGGGTTGGTTTTGGATATAACCGCATCCAGACAAAAGCCATAGGGACCATGATGTCTCTTTGTCTCAGCATAGTGATATCAGATCAGCTGTAGGATCTCCAAGGGAAACAAAGGCAGGATTTGCCTTTTATAAATTTAATAATGTCCGAGTGAGCCCATACTCCCATCTGTGACCCCAGTGATTTACACCCTCCAAACAAACATACAGAACCCGACTAGCTGCAAGACTGCATGCACAAGCACCTGCAGTGACAGAGATTACTACAGCAATAACGTGCTCAGATGCAGTTTGTGTCTTGATCTTAGTCAATTTGTCTATCGCTCAACGAGGTTTAGAAATGCCTGTTGAATTCCTGGTCATGCAAAACAAAGCCGTACTAAAGCCTCTCCCCAGAGCTTTGAAGGGATTGTGGGGAAATCGGATACAGGCATGTTGTCATAACATTTACACCTTGGAATGCAAAGCGCTCGATTTCAAGTGAAGAAACTGACCTAAATACCACAATTTCAGAAGCATAGTAGTGACACACACTGAACCAGTGCACTCTGTTAAAGTTTGGTAGTGAAGAACTTGACATCAATAGGAAGTACTTAAAACCTTGTATCTTAAGTTGATTTACTCTGATAAAAATGTACCTCTGAACAACATAATATGATGAAGCTTTGTTTTGTGAGCAGTTTTCCAAGAATATTCAAAGGACTTACAAATTGCTTTTATAGTTTTTGTGAAAGTATCACACAAATATCACAGCGTGCCAACTTTCTATAGTATGCTCTTATTTAGTGGATATTGGTGATGCAAAAGTAGCAGATCTTGATCCTGACACTCAGGATATTCAGAGGCACATTGTATGCCCCTAAGGGTTATTATAAAATATCTTAAAATGAAATTGTATAATGCTTCTAAGCCATAGTAAACTAACATATGTTAAACACACACAACGTGTATAAACAGAAAAAAACGAAATTGAAAAAGACTTCCAAGAGTCAGACAGTTACCCAGGTTGGCAAAGCTCATCACCATATCTGCATCATTTAAGCGGTTGTCCTGTGGGGTCACCGTGGAGGAGGCCTGGCTCGGTAAAACGGGTCTGTAATAAGAATAAGCGTCTGTAGAGATCGTATTGTACAGGTCCAGCATGAACATCGGGGCGGCGATGTGTTTGGTATGAACGTGCGGCCGCGGACGATGCGGCAGACCCAGGATGGAGAGGATCTCCCGTTGCATCTCCCTGCGTTCCTGGCTTCGTAGCCGCCGCTGAATGAAGCTGGATCGCACCTCGTTGTCTAAGGAGAAGTTGGAGAAGGCGACCTGCGTGGCTAATACGCAATAACCCCACGACAGAAGTCTTATTAATGTCGCTAAGCCGCTTGTCACCATTTTATCCAAATTTTACGCGCAGGTCTGGGCAGTTCGAAGGATAAGACCTGAGATGCGATAACTCTTATAAAGAGTCTACCTACATGTGAGGAAGTAAAATTCACTATTATTTATCCACTGAGAAAATCCCTCCCTCATTAACTACCGTAGCGCACTGATAGAGCCGTGCGCTCTTCTAGATGGCAACTTGGGAATGGGTTTTACTGAGGCTGTGTCAGGGGAGGGGCAGAAATGGTT